CGCAAAGCAAAGGAAAGGAAAGGAAAGGAAAGGAAAGGAAAGGAAAGGAAAGGAGGAAAGGAAAGGAAGGAAGAAAGGAAGGAAGGAAGGAAGGAAGGAAGGAAGGAAGGAAGGAAGGAAGGAAGGAAGGAAGGAAGAAGAAGAAAAGGTGGGGAGGAGGGCGGGAGAGAAGAGGAAAAAAAAAAAATTCATGATTATTCTTCATTGCTTTAGAGTACATCTGGAAGGAATGAATATAAAATAGTTGTTGGCTATATACGTTGCTTTCTACTTACCTACTACAAAGTATCCATGTTGACATACTAAATCTTTATTCAACTCTTAATAATTTTCTTAGGGTAAATTGATAAAAGTGGCTGAAAGCTCTGCATATACTCATGATTAAACTGCCTTTATATGTTCCAGATTAATCTATATGTAGCATCTATTAGGGTTTGGTTTCAGGAAAAACTCCACCAACATTTTAAAAAATAGTAATAAGATTAAAATAAAAGGAAAACGTTAAACCCATTGAGCCCTCTGCAATTATAGCAGTACATTCTATTTACTGATAAACAATGGAATTAATGCCATATCAAACATATTAAGAGTAACTGAAAAGTTGTTTTGTATCTGAATGAGTGAGATGATCCTTCTTCTCCAGGAGAGTCGGCCCGCAGGCTGGAAGAAGGACCAAGACAAGTGACAGTTCATGATCATCTCCTTGTGTAGCTCTAGGAACCTGTACATCTTTCTAGTTCAGGGAATTGCATTAACATTGATCTTTGCTTAAATGGATCTGTCTGCTTTTAGAGGGAAATGAGAAATACTAGCAAATTTTTAGTGTGAGAGAAGTAGATGAACCTTCTTTCAAGGCTGATTTAATCAGCTTCTCTTCCTAATAAATCTGGAAATAAATGGAAGCAAAGACATGAATTTCCCTGGCACATTACCTTTTTGTAGGAAGGATTTCCTGACAAAAAAAAAAAGAAAGAAAGAAAGAAAGAAAGAAAGAAAGAAAGAAAGAAAGAAAGAAAGAAAGAAAAGAAAAGAAAGAAAGCCCGATGTTTCTTTCATTGGGCCCTGTGGTATAACAACAGTACTATTGCCCTGTGCCCTGTGCCCTGGTCTGAGATATACAAACTAAAACAAAGATTCTAGCAATTTCAGTACCACCTGCCAACATAGTAATGCTGACACCCACAAAACTCACAGGAGTCCTGCCCCTCTCAATGTGCCTCATTCGCTGGACAACTTGCTGTTAATTTAATGCTGTATTCAGAGATTCCAAGAGGGTCTCAGTTTATCAGGAGATGGAGAATCACTAATTGCACCTTTGCTGCAAATCAGGCTCCATGAGATGTGTGACTTCCTCCGCGGATGCACAGCCCTGTAAACACAGACCTGTGTGTGACCCTTCACTCAGCTTTCTCCTAATATGGTCTGGTTACTCCAGCTTGCATTTACAGCCATCAGTTACCTACAGTGATGCTGGCCAGGTATCAGAACATTGATCGAGAAGCCAAGGAAACCGTGTCACGTATATTTTCATAATTACCTCTGTGTTATTTGCAGTTTCTAGACTCTGAGTGATAATGAAACACAGTCAGATCCTCGGTGTCATTTTAAGATCTGTGTCTTTTGAAGATTAAGCCTCATTGGGATTGCCCTCACATACTCTGTTCCTATAAATCAGAGGTTTCCTTTTTTTTAAAAAAAAAATTTATTTATTTATTCATGAGAGACACACAGAGAGAGAGGCAGAGACATAGGCAGAGGGAGAAATAGGCTCCATGCAGGAAGCCTGATGTGGGACTCGATCCCAGGACTCCAGGATCACAACCTGAGCTGAAGGCAGACGCTCAACCACTGAGCTACCCAGGCCTCCCAAATCAGAGGTTTCCTTGCAGTACATTTGAACAGAAAGATCCAGAAAGAAGAATTTCTGTTTCCATAATGCAATCACTGAGAACCCAAGGGCTCGGGGCCAAGTGGCCAACTCCACACCTTCCTTAATATTCATAAGAGAAAAAGCAGGTCTTTTAATTTGCATTTTGGGTTATGTTAGTGGAACGACCAGATACCCAGCAGGCAAGTGAGAACACTTGATACTGTACCCGTCTTCCATGAACAGCTCGAGTTTGTTATCCTAAAGGCAGAATGGCTCTATTGTCCTAACATCTGCTTGTAGAACTTTTTGACCTTTTCTTTAGGAGTTCTGTTGACTTGAATGTACACAAGAATTACATTAAAAGTTTGCACATATGGTGCCATGTAGAAAACATTGAGAAATTTCTCATCCTTCAGGACTTTTGCCTTAAATTTTAGAACCAAATGGCAGCCCCCACCATTAGCATGTAGTGAGCTTTCGCTCTGGTTCAACAGTGACTCTGTCACATGGTTATGCATATACCTAATGGTCTCCAGTTTCCTGATAAGTGACTATTGATTGTTCTCTTGGTCTGTTCAGGCTGCTATAAGAAAAAACTATAAACTGGGTGGCTTATAAACAATAAATATTCATTTCTTGCAGTGGTGGGAAGTCCCAGATCAAAATGCTGGCACATTCTAATGTCTGGTGAGAGCCCACATCCTGGTTCATACACAGCTGTACTTTCACTATGTCCTCACACGGCAAAAGGGGCAAGGGAGCTTTTCTGGGCCTCCTTTATTTTTATTTTTTTATTTTCTGTTTTTGTCATTCTAAAAAAGTTTAATTCCAGTAGAGTTAACATACAGTGTTGTATTAGTTTCAGGAATTCCATATAGTGATTTCAGCAATTCTATATCTTGGGCCTCTTTTTTTAGAGCGCCAATCTCATTTATGAAGAAGCAGCACCTCCCAGTGATTTCAACAGTTCTATGTCTTGGGCCTCGTTGATTAGAGCGCTAATCTCATTTATGAAGAAGCAGCACCTCCCAGAGGCCCCATCTCCTAAAATCATCACCCTGGGGATTAAGATTTCGAAATGGGAATTTTGGTGTGGGGGGAACACGAATATTCAGCCCACAGCAATTGTAAAAGCAAACATGCAAAAGGCTTTTTAGTCATTTGATTTTAAACCACTTTAGTTACAGTATTTCCTGATCCTAACACATAATAGATGCAATGTCGATGGAGGACAAAAAGAACAAAACAGACTTTCCTATGCAGAATTGTTTGCCCACCTTCGATGGTATCTTTAGAATACAGCATCCTTGCTTCCTCCATGCTTTTCTGTGACTGCAAGGGTGGTTCATACTCTTTTTCTGTAGGTGTCATCTTTCCCTAAATGCATTTTTTTTGCATTCATCTTCATGGAAGGGGCAGCCCTTCCTATGGTGTCCCTCTGCAGGGCAGCAAGAGAGCTTCCTGTAGTTTACCTCTACCTCACTTTACATTTCTTTGGAATGTCTCATTTTTGCACACTTAGAAATCTATATACTTTCTCTCTTCCCAGTCATTATTAAAAACCTGAATTGAGAGTTGCCATAAGTCTGATCGCTGGAGTCACTATTGATTTTACTTGTCCTCTCACTCCTCCCTTCCTCTTGCAAGAGCCACTGGAGAGCCCTGGCTTAGTTTTGAGAAATACATGCTGTGTTTGGGGCCTTCTCTGACATGTATATGAGATTCCCCATCAAAAGCAACAGCAACAACAACAACAGCAACAACAACAACAAAAATCTATCAGTCTGATAATTTCCAGAAAGAGGAAGGAAATTTCTTCCTCTGAGAGGCAGATCTATGATTCCAGTCTGTGATCATTTAAAGCTCCTGAATGGAACAACCTAATGAAGTGCCACCCATATGTTTTGAGAGAGTTAACAAATGTCCAAAAAAGGGGAGAACTTCTACCCCAAAAGTAGGAGGAAGCTTCTACTCCTACAGCTGGGGCAGGATGCTTAGGGGCATCCTATCAATGAATCTCTCCACCTTCTGTAGAAAAATAAATGACCTCAGATGAATGTGATGCTATCGAAAACATCCTCCAGGACTGGTGAGCCAGTTACCTGTCTCAGTAATTCATCCCTTACTCAATAATCCTGCATCAGTACACTTTTCCTTATATTTCATGAAAATCCTTTTTATTGCTTTTCAAACCAACACAGCACAATGCCCAGGAGAGGCAGAAGAATGTTTTTAAAGGCACAGATTTCTGCCTTAAAAATGTTTTCTTTAAGCCATTGGCCATAAATTATCAGGCAGTGTTTTAAAGCTTGACTGACAAAGGACTTGCTTTTCTTTTCTTCTTCTTCTTCTTCTCTTTTTTAAAAATTTGAATGTCTTTGATTTTGTTCTCTTATTTGCACAGACTTGTTATCTCCAATTGTTTTTTTATACACCCATTCAGGTGTATATTCTATCTGCCCAGCCCCTGTGGATATTTGGGTTTGTGACTCTTGAGTTAAACCCTTACTTTATCTGGACCCCTGGGTGGTTCAGTCGATTAAAAGTATGCCTTCAGCTCAGGTTGTGACCTCAGGGTCCTGGGAACGCATTGGGCTCTGCGTTCAAAGGGGAGTCTGCTTTTCCCTCTCCCCCTGCTCATGCTTGCATGCATGCTTTCTCTCTCAAATAAATAAATAAAATCTATTTTTAAAAAGTAAACTCTTACTTTCTCAACATTTTTTATTTTATTTTTATTTATTTATTTTTAAAATTTTCATGAGAGACAGAGAGAGAGAGAAAGGCAGAGACACAGGCAGAGGGAGAAGCAGGCTCCATGCAGGAAGCCCAATGTGGAACTTGATCCCAGGACCCCAGGATCACACCCTGAGCCAAAGGCAGATGCTCAACCACTAAGCCACCCAGGCGTCCCTCTCAACATATTTTATAAAAGTCAGTCTTTATATGTATCTCCTACACATACCCAACTTTAATCTTGACCCTAGGATAGTTTTGAAGAATGAGGAGTTACTATGATGTATTTTTCTCCCATATAGTTAGGTTAGAGGTGGCAGTGTTTGCCAATTTCCATGGTGTAAACACTCCCACTGTGCTTGTTGCCAGGTACCAAGATGAAGTCATCAATACTTACTTGGGAAGATATGCACATGATCTGTTATGCAAGCCAACTCCAGCACACTACTATTTATTGCCACCATCATACGTATGATCTTGTTTTGATTTATTTTTTCAGATATGAGCTGATCAGGTGAAGAGATATTTGATCATGGCAATGGACAGAACAAAATACCTAGAGAAAAAGAAAATACATTTTTCAGGCAAATCCTAGAGTTATATAAAATATGAGATCAGCAGTTTTTTTCTATACAGGGCCAAAGGGTAAATGTTCTAGGCATTGTAGGTCACATATGCTTTTTAATACACACTTGTCCTTCTTCCTCCTTTTTCCTTTTTCTCCTTCTTCCCCTCCTCCTCCTCCTCTTCTTTCTATGCTATTTTACAACCTTAAAAACAAAACAAAACAAAACAAACTATTTTTAGCATACAGGCTCTACAAATGCAAGCCAAGAGCCAGACTGGCCCATGGGCTATATAGCTTGTAGACTCTTTATATAAGAGTAAATAAATAAATCCAAAAAAAGGGGGGGGGGGACCGCTGGGTGGCTCAGTGGTTGTTGGGTGTCTGCCTTTGGCTCAGGTCATGATCCTGGGATCCGGGATCAAGTCCCAGATCGAGCTCCTGCGAAGAGCCTGCCTCTCCCTCTGCCTATGTCTCTGCCTCTGTGTGTGTGTGTGTGTGTGTGTGTGTGTGTGTGTGTGTGTCTCATGAATAAATAAATCTTTAAAAATAAAAAAGAAAGGTAAAAATGGGGAAAATGCTCAGATTCACATTTTTAAAAATCAGAAGGGGGTAAAATACCACATTATATGGTTACAGTTTTAATCATGTATATCTGAGTACCAATGCAGAAAACATAAATCAGTTACCTAGAGATTTTTAATTCAAAGAAACAAAATCATTCAATAGTTGCCATCAAGACTTGGTCATACATATGTATATACATCTGGGATATGATCATGTGATGAAATGCCTCATCTAAGAGAAAAAGAGCTATAAGAAGTGGAAGTGGATACGTTGAACACCAAGAACACGCATCCTTGTGTGCAAACTCATGGCTTGACATAAGGGCATGGACAGAAGCTGAGAGAATGTTAGTGTGCCTAAGTGATTAACAGCTTGAGCTGTGGGGGCACCTGGGTAGCTCAGTGGTTGAGCGTCTGCCTTTAGCTCAGGTGGTGATCCTAGGGTCCTAGGATTGGGTCCCACATTAGGCTCCCCACAGGGAGGCTTCTTCTCCCTCTATGTCTGTGCTTCTCTCTCTGTGTCTCTCATGAATAAATAAATAAAATCTTAAAAAAACAATGAGCTTGAGCTGTGGATTCAAGTCCTTGCTCTGTCGCTGACTACCTGTGGTGTAATCAGCCTTACAAATCACTTGGGCTTGAATAGTGCTCCTAATTCTTCTTCAAAATTTTGCCTTCCTCACAGAGAGGGGAGTGTTGCTATCCTTCCTATTTTGTTGGTTAGGAGGTGGGGGAGGGGGTCCTAAATGCCAAGTGACTTATTCAAGATGGCCAAGTTAATGGAAGAGTTGGGGCTGGCATGAATGAAAAGGATGCAGAGCCCCCATTTCTACATCTGTAAAATGGTAGTAATAATTGTAACCACTTCATAATGTTGCCATGAAGATTGAGTAAATAGATTTGATGTGTTGATAATGTGTCTGGTGCATCTAAATGCTCTATAACTATTAGTCATTATTATCGTCTGACTGCAAAACCCAGCAAAGGAAATGGGTGATGCCTCGTTGAGGGATCACTCTATACAAGAAAGATGTAGAGGTGATAGAGAATCTGAACTTGGATGCTTTATTGTGTAAAATAGAAAATAGAGCATATGCCATGTTCTTGACATGACAGTTTCATGGCTCAGCATACATGGAAAGCATGATCAGGGCGTGGCTGCTGTGGACTTCATCTTGTCTTCAGCCATATTTATTTATTTATTTTTAAAAGATTTTATTTATTTTATTCATGAGAGACACAGAAAAAGAGAGAGAGGCAGAGACACAGGCAGAGGGAGAAGCAGGCTCCATGCAGGGAGCCTGATATGGGACTCGATCCCACGACTCCAGGATCAGGCCCTGAGCCAGAGGCAGATGCTCAACCACTGAGCCATCCAGACATCCCTTCAGCCATATTTATAAGTGATACATTACTCCTCTTCCCTTCCAGCCCTTCTTTTTTTTTTTTTAATCATTTATCCATGATAGTCATACAGAGAGAGAGAGGCAGAGACAAGGCAGAGACATAGGCAGAGGGAGAAGCAGGCCCCATGCACCGGGAGCCCGACGTGGGACTCGATCCTGGGTCTCCAGGATCGCGCCCTGGGCCAAAGGCAGGCGCCAAACCGCTGCGCCACCCAGGGATCCCCCTTCCAGCCCTTCTTATGTGACCAAAATTAAAGAATCAAAATTTGAAAAGTGGAAAGGGGGAAGGGGGAAGAATCCAGTGTCTTGCCTATGGCAAGCACAGATCATAGATTTATTTATTTATTTATTTATTTATTTATTTATTTATTTATTTATTTATATTTTTTTAGAAAGGAAGCAGGCAGTTGCTTTCCTGTTGAATTTCTTTTAGTCTCATTAGCTGATTTTTCCTGGGACTGGATTTGTTACTCTGGGAATATGGGTTCATGCCTGGCTGCATCTTTATCACCCATGCCAGCCCCAACTCTTCCATTAACTTGGCCATCTTGAATAAGTCACTTGGCGTTTATGACCTCCTCTCCCACTTCCTGACCAACAAAATAGGAATGATAGTAACACTCCCCTCTCTGTGAGGAAGGCAAAAATTTGAAGAAGAATTAGGAAGCACTATTCAAGCCCAAGTGATTTGTAAATATTTAATACCTAGTAGTTGAGGTAAATGTCAGGAGAGTGTGGAACTCAACATCAATCTTTTTGTTATGAAAGCTCTTGAGATGTGTTTAATCCCAATGCAAACACCGGGGACCCTGAGCTTCTCTGACCCTTTCTTCTTTTCCTTCTTCCACGATACCCAAATATTTCCTATCCAACATCACATAACAGCTCATTTTAACTCCTCTGCAAAAGTTAATTTTGGTTCATCAGGAGCCCTCCTGTCCTGCTCTCCATCCTTTGAGTCCCTAAATGCTTGCACAGAAATACTTAGTCTTCCTTGGGAAATTCCCTTTTGTGACAGAAGGACCCTTTTGTGTTTGAACTCAGACTGAATGCCTTTGTCCCAGAACAATAGCCACTGTTGGAATTCCTCTCTTCTCCTTAGGCTAGCTTATTTCCTTGGAGAGGCTGGGCCAATTTCCCTTCAACTTCACAGCCCTGCTGGGTCCAGGTACCTAATGAGACCCTGCATCTGCTACTGTCAGCAGGGCTCCCTGATTGAGGATGCATGGGGTGTAGGTAAATTGGGAAGGGAGAGGGATTATTTTAAAAATAATTCCAATAATGCATGGAGCTCTTTCCAGATTAACTCTGTTCTTTCTCTTGAAATCACAAGAGCTTTTCAGTGAACACTGCTCTGGACACAGTTTCACAGGGGAGATCTGCCCCACTCTGAGGATGGCTTAGGCTTCCATAGTTCACTGCTGTGCCCATGTCACACCCACCTCCGCTGCCAGACAGAACAATTCTTAGGAACAATGATTTGCTTTGAAATTTTAGCTTATTCCTGAATTGCAGAAATGGTTGATGAGTTAGGTCTTCTGGTTACTTTTTATTGGAACAGAATGGAGCACAGATTCAGAAATTATTGGAGCTGCCCTCTTTGAATGGAAAAAAAAAAAAACCAGAACAACCCAAGCAACAATAAAAACGTTGTCATTTTTGCTAAAAAAAAAAAAAAAATGAAACAGAAACAAAAAAACGGATGAAGTAGTTAAGTTAGATAGCTTATATTGTATTGAGTCTTGCAGTTTACATAGGGCTTTTTGGGTACCTGATGTTCTGAGGTTGAAAGTGGTTTTTTTTAGGTTTTTGATTGATAATATTCAGTGACAGTTCTTGAGGACAGAGCTAGGATGAATGGGGAATTATAAGGAGGAAACTTTCTGTTACATTGAAGAAGGAAGGAAGAGGTGTGTTGAGGGAAAGCAGGAGGAAAGAAATCACTCAGCCTCTCCAAGACTTGCTTTCCTTATTTGAAAAAAAAAAATTTAATCTTTTTTTTTCTTTTGTGTGTGTGTGTGTGTGTGTGAGAGAGAGAGAGAGAGAGAGAGAGCATGAGCAGGTGGGGAGGGGCAGAGGGACAGGGAGAGAGAGAATCCTAAGTGGGTTCCACCCCTAACTCAGAGCCTGATGCAGGGCTCAGTCTCACCACCCTGATCATGACCTGAGCTGAAATCAAGAGTTGGACCCTTAAGCAACTGAGCCACCCAGGAGCCTGGAAAATAATACTCCTTATCCTATTTTTCACATAAGATTTTGGATCATCTGCAGTAGACTCTAAAAGGAAGTCCTACTTCATCCAAAACATGCTTTACAAGTTTGGGTGGATGTTACTGCTTATATTATGATGATTCGTGACAAGTAGGCCTACCTAAAATTCTTCATTTCCTGGCCTACCACACTGTTAGGTTCCCACTTTCAGGGGTTACATGGTAACTCCTCAGCACTCATCAACACTTCATGGGATTGGTTTAGCCACATGTCTTCTTGGGAGAGCTACCAGGGTTGAAAATGGGATTATACATTATGACAAATGACAGAGGCTCGAGAAAAGTTCTGAATTGGAGGATCACAAGGAGCAAATGAAGACTGCATTGCAAGGGTAGGTGGAGAGCATGCTGAAGCCAGATCTCATGAAGAGAGACCCTGATACGGTTGACCCTGGATCTTCTCTCAGCCATTAAGAGTATCAACAGCTGCCTGTTCCCCTAAGTGACTCCAGAACTCCAGGGTGTCCCCCGATCTCTGGATAGTGCTTGCAATTAGGTTTTTCTGAGCTTGTTTTCATTTTCATTTTTTAAAAAAAGATTTTATTTATTTATTCATGAGACACACACACACAGAGAGAGAGAGAGAGAGAGAGAGAGGCAGAGACACAGGCAGAGGGAGAAACAGGCTCCACGCAGGGAGCCCAACTTAGGACCCGATGCCGGGTCCCCAGGATTATGCCCTGGCCCGAAGGCGGAGCCAAACCACCAAGCCACCCAGGCTGCCCATGTTTTCATT